AAGAGATGAAAAAAATCAATAAATGCTCCTAACCCATTTAGGAAATTTTAAATGCAATTTAAACAGGAAAAATTAAATAAACTCCCAAATCAACCGCAATATTTGTCCACACAAAAAGCAATTAAATAGGAAAAAAAAGGTGGAAAAAAAATAAGAAAACAGTCCATTAGAATTATATATTTGACAAACGAACAGACAAAAAATTCAATTAGAAAATTTTCCCTAATGTAACCATGGTTGCCAAGAACTCAATAATCAATAATAATAATAATAACAATAATAATAATAATAACGAGAAGAAGAAGAAGAAGAAGAAAACACGAGCGAGAAAATAAAAATTAACTGACCCGTGACCCGTTTGCTGGGTTTTTTTGCTTTTTATTTCCCGCTTATGCATGTGAGTTTGTGAGTTGTGAGTCTTGTGACTCGCTCCCCAGAATTATATTATAAGCCGAAAAGTAATGTAATAGTTGTTTTCCACCTGTTGTAAATTAGTACCTCACATGACACCTGTAAATTAGATATGCTGACGGTACGTACTATTTTGATTTTTCTGAGCTTTAGCGTTTACATATTTTTTACACTGAATTTTTTTTTTAGCCATATACAAATGGCTAACACAAATTTTAGCCACATTTTGCAAACAACACTCTTTTTAGCCATTTTGGCACCTGAAAAGACAAAAATATCCTTACTACCTATTATTTCAAAAAAATAAAAAATAAAAACAAAAACGATTTCTGGGACTAGAAATCAATTTTCGGTCCCATAAATCGATTTCTGGTCCCAGAAATGGTTTCTGGTCACAGAAATCTCAGAATTCCAATAAATGATTTCTAGTTCCAGAAATGGATTTCTGGGACGAGAAATCGATTTCCGATCTCAGAAATGGTTTCTAGTCCCAGAAATTCCCATTTCTGGTTTCAGAAATTGATTTCTGGGACTAGAAATCGATTTCTGTGAGTCCCACAAATCCAAGAAATACGAGAAATGATTTCTGGTTCCAGAAATCGATTTCCGATCCCAGAAATGGTTTCTGGTCCTAGAAATCATTGTTGGATTTCTGGGACCAGAAATCGATTTATGGACCCCAGAAATGCAAGAAATTCCATAAACGATTTTTGTACCCCAGAAACAATTTTTGGACCCCAGAAATCCCAAAAATGATTTTTGAAATTATTTTTAGATCCCATAATGATATCTGGTACAAGAAATCGATCCCAAAATTCGATTCTAATTCAAATTTTATTTGTTTTATTATATAAGTCATTGAATCATATATAAGACATGTTTTTTTGACATTGTTGTCACTAAAATACTTTTGTATCTTTTTTTATAGATGTCGTGTTAAAAGGTTGGAATTGTGCATAGTGGATTTTGGTATGAGAATGTCTATAAAAATGGACAGGCAGAGATGAACTTTATGCGTTTGAGAAGTTTGTCGTATGAAGAATTTTTAAATAGAGTTCATGACATTGTTTGTGGAGATAAACACACGTGTGAATATCGATCTTACTTCTTGATGACCACGATACGTGTTTGTGTCTTCCTCTCACTGACCTTACAATATCGTATAAATATTTGTATGATATTTTTTTTCAAAATTTTAATAATATATAAACCTCAACTCACAATATATAGATAATCGTCACCAGTGTCCGTGTAAGCAAACAATGTGACAAAATTGTAGATACATCGATGCAGCGATCATTAAACAAGTCAAGCCAATCTCGACCTGATACTCGAGCTTCTGAGCTTGCCTCGTTAACTACACGACATGATAAGCACGTTTAGTGTTTAACATGAGGGGGCAATAATAAAGCAGAACTAAAACAAAACAAACAGCACAGGCACACAATATTGTTGCATTTTCATTTTTTCATTAAAAAAATGATTATGTACATTAATTTAGGCAAAATTTTTCAAATATTTGCCAAAAATATTACTCAATATAGCAAGTCTCATTACATTTGATGGCAATTGGCATTCTATAACAGTTGACAATATACGAATTTTCTTCTAATTATCATACAGTGCTTGCACATTCAATGTGACCTAAATTAAGCTCTCGAACGGGTCAAAGTTCGAACCGTCCCCAGCATATCCAACTCAAAAGGAGTACTGACAGTTTTGATTTATGAATCTCATCAAATCCAAAATTGAAAAAGAAAAAGAAAATGTTTCATTTTTCATACATAAAACTAGATTTTGATATACCTAAAAGTGTGTTAACAGCAGGATTATATTTTGAATTGTCTATAACAACAGATTTTTCATGCGTCGATGTGAATATACAACAAACTATCAAATTAAAATTCAAGAGTTCGACAACCACCATGGGTTGTCACTAGTTCTGAAATTTATTTTAAACTTACTTTTCCTTTAAACTTATATATAAACCTTGAGCAGG